CATCGGTGGTTCTTTTCGTTCGGACCGCCAGCGCGGACTCATCATTCTCTTCTTCTTCTTCTTCGTCTTCTTCTTCTTCTTCTTCTTCATCCCTTAGACGCAGAATGAATTCCACGGTCAAAAGAATGACATTCTTGTTCGGCTTACGAGCCGTCCTCTTCTTCGGTTTTGGATATACGGGAACCGAGGCTCTCTTCCTTTTATTTTCCTTCACCGGCTTTGGGACAGAGGCCGAAATTTCCTCCTCATTGGACAAGGGCCTCAAGACCGCGCCTTTACCCAAACCTGCATATGGGAAAACTTATAAAAAATATTTTGAAAACCGCCTCGTTCGGATCATCAGAGTCCGAGAAATGAGCTTACAGTGATTTTTGGCCTCTCACCCACCCTTTGACAAATCACGCCATGAGCGCTCGGCGTATGTGGAGGTCGAAACAAGGGCTCGTACCCAGTTCTTGAGATCGGGAACTGCTCCGGGTATCCAGGGAACCGCTACATCACAAAAAAAAAATGGAGTGTCGATAAAAGAATAAATGAAAGAACAAAATAGAAGCAACATCAAGATCACACTTATGTTTCATATTCCACTCCTCGGGAAAGGGCATATTTTCAGTCGGAATCAGGTCCGAAGTCCTTACTCGAACGAACCTGCCCATCTAACCCCAATCCCTGTCCTCGTCAATACTCGAGAACAAAGCCTTGGTAGCCCGACGCTGGAGTTTTATTAACCCTCCTCGATAAAGTCGAGGACGGTACAATCGGATAAGATGATCGAGGGTGAACGGCATTCCCTCGATTTTGCTCACAAAATATCGGATCAGGATAACGATCCGCCACAAAGAAGGATGGACCTGGACTAGGGTTACCTGATATTGTCGACAGAAGTCAATAATTACGGAATTGAGGGGACCCAAAGTGAAAGGGTAAGTATACACATTCAAAAACCCTTCACGTAAGAAGTGATATCTTCGTCAGGGGTAGGAATTATTATTTCTTTTTCATCCCAATTGCAATCTTTCTTTAGCTGATCGAGGTACTTCTCGGTTATCGAACACATGTACCTCGATACCGGCTCACACCGGCCAGGGACCGATGAACCTTTATCGACCTTAAAATCTGAAGTAAGGACACATGCCCCGGGAACATACTCCTCAGACCGTGGTTCTGCCGGTGTCTCGTCGGCGGCACACTGTGAAGATGAAGCCTTCTCTTTCTGAGGAATGGTTTGGGATGTTTTCGCCATTTTTGAATTCAAAGGTGAGGAATAGAAGAAAGTGACAAAGATTTGGTAGAATTAAAGAGGGGTTTTTTGCGGAAAGAAATCACAGATTTATTGGTAAGTTGAAGAGTACGAAGAAGAACTTGAGAAATTTGGAAGATAGAAGATGTAAAAGTGGTAAAAGATAAAAGAAAGGGTTATTTATAGGTTCAAGCGATGACAGTTCAGTATCAGCAGTGGCCGACCACCACCTGATATGCATTAAATGCCTTGAAAGACTAAACCGACGAGACAACTACCAGATGCATCATGGTCGAACCCGATGGAAACGATAGGATATAATCCGATCGAGCTGTTAAAAAAAATCATATCGTTTCTCGCAATATTCTTTCCGAGAAACGAGGGGATTATCTGTATACGGTCAAAAAAGATTTCGGCCTTAGCACGTCCGATCTATTTCGAACGATGATTTATCGAAGTAAGATCCCGAAGGCGGAACGAACTAACCTCGAACCCGGGAGGCCGATCCGTGTCGAGTTCGATATCATTATCGAGCTCGAATCAAAATCGAATCATGATGCAGAGTAGATCTATCGTTCTGATAATCCACAATTCAACCAACATCTACCTCGAATCAATTCGAGGGCTCGAGCCAGGATCGGGCTCGAACCAAGGTCACGAGTTCGAGCCGAAATCAAGCTCAAACCAAAATCGAGGGTTCTAAGTAAGATCGAGCTCGCAGACAAAAGCCATTGCAATCCCACTAGAGAGAATCTTGGCAGAAATTATGAAAAAGCTGACTTATCATGGGTCTCCCACTGAATGTTTATTTTATTATGCTTAGAGCCAA